ATAATATTTTTATAATACAGGTTCCCCCTAACTTCGCGAGGGTTGGGGGATAAAGAGCCTCGGAATGTTAAAAAAACGTGAATTTTTGGGTGCCCCAATATATTGTAGGGAATTAATACAAACGCTTAATTTGTTGAACCAGAACAATCAAAATACATGAAAAACTGAAAGTTGTATAATATATACATGTTATGCTTTAATAACATGTAGTTTTAAAATCCCAACAGACTCCACCACTGCCTCCACACTTCCCAACCAATGCGAGTCCCTACTACCCCCCCCCCCGCCCCCCAAACTGGCAGCCAGCCCCCACCATCAGGTGGTGATGTTTGTTTTTTTCTTATTTGCTATTAAACCAGTATAAATAATGTAAAACTTTCATGACTGCATTTGGAAGGCTATTTGAAAAATTTGGACGGGAATCATGTGTTTTACTCTTAAAAAACAGCAAAGAATCAAACATTTCTGCTATGCTAAAATAACAATTGTAATAAATAATAAAATAAAATATAATAATAATAATAATAATAAAAATATAATAATAAAACAAAATAATTTAAGAAGGAAATTTTACAAAAATACAGGGATGGTTTAACCCCCGTCAGTGTGGCTTGTTTTGCTGGATGAACATTAGTTCCCCCTTTCCAAACATTTTTACAATAATTCAGCGGTTGAGGGAGTGGTAGAGGCAGTGGGTAGAGACAGTGTAAGGCAGTGATGAGGCAGTGATAAAGGGGTGATAGAGGGGGTGAAGAGGCAGTGATAAGGGGTGGGGGAGGCAGTGGTATTTACAACATATACATATGGTAAAATAATAATAGTACATGTTAATATTACTAACATTTATAATAATAATAATAAATGTTATTCATAATGTACTATTATTATTTATAACATATATGTTAGTAAATATCACTACCCTGCCTCTATCGCTGCCTCTATCGCTGCCTCTATCGCTGCCTCTATTGCTGCCTCTACCACTGCCTCTACCACTGCCTCTATCACTGCCTCTACCACTGCCTCTACCACTGCCTCTATCACTGCCTCTATCACTGCCTCTACCACTGCCTCTACCACTGCCTCTACCACTGCCTCTACCACTGCCTCTACCACTGCCTCTACCACTGCCTCTACCACTGCCTCTACCACTGCCTCTACCACTGCCTCTACCACTGCCCCTACCACTGCCTCTGTCACCTCTACCACTGCCTCAACCACTCCAGTCACACTCAATCTACAAGCACCAAACAATGAATTATTGTGAAATGTTTGGAAGAGCAGGGAGACTAATGTTCACTCCAGCATAAACAAAGCCACACTGATGATGTGTCAACCACTCCCTCGTATTTTTTGTACAATTTCCCTTTTTCAATTATATCAAAATATTATTCTTATTATTATTATTATATATTATTATTATTATTATTATTATTTTTATTACTATTGTTTATTATTAGCAGTAGCAGAAATGTTTGATTCTTTGCTGTGTTCAAGAGTAAACACATGATGTCACCGTCCCAAAACCTGTCCAAATAGCCATTCCAATATGCAGTCATGAAAGTGTTTTACATTATTTATACTGTAGTTTAATAGCAAATAATGAACAAACAAAACACTCACCACACTGAGTGGTGGGAGGGCTGGCTGCCAGTTGCGGGGGTCGGAGGGAGGGTAGTAGGGACTCGCAGGTGGCGGGAAACTTGAATATGATTTGGCGGCTGGGAATTTGGTGGCTGGGAATTCGCGAATGTGTGAAGCCCGCGAAAGCTGAAAACGGAATGTTGAGGGAGACCTGTGTGTATGTTTAAAATATATTAAATATATATATATATATATATATATATATATATATATTATATATATTATATAATAAAATTATATATATATGTATGTATATATATTATATATAAATATATATTATATTTAAATATATATATAAAATATATATATATATTATATATATTATATATATATATATATATATATATAATATATATATATATAAAATATATTATATATATAATATATAATATATAAAATATATATTAGACAATATTATTGAAACCCCATGAAAAGGGGTATTGATCAATAAAAACACTGCAACTAGCCAAGGATTCTTTGGCCAAAACAACATGGGTTCGAGTCCTTGGTAGTCGCAGTGTTTTTTTTAAAATATAATATATAAATAAATATATATATATAATATATATATATATATATATATATATATATATATATATATATATAATATATATGTATAAATGAGATATAATAATAATAATAATAATAATAATTTTTATTTGGACATGATACATAGTTGTACAAGGAATTATAGTAGTTGGGTGTACATGCCAAAAGCCCCTTGTATGCAGAGCATTATGGGCAGGCTTAAAATTAAACTTAAGATTAACTAAGCAATGATAGATTCAGTGGTAAAAATTACAGTAAACAATTATGAAGTACAATTGAATATTTTAAACAATGAAATTTGAGCATTTCAATTATGATGCATTATAGTTGTACAAATTTGTAGCATTACAATTAAAAACATAGGTTGATAGGGTCATGGGTTATACATTTATGAAATACAGTTATTCAATTTTTATTTAGTTTTGGGTGAGTGTTTTTTAAGAAGAATCTGGAATTGATAAACAGTGTTTCTTTTGTTTTCACAGGTAATGAATTCCAAATTTTTGGGCCTTTTATGTGCATTGAGTTTTTACATAGTGTGAGATGGACACAGGGAACATCAAAGAGTGATCCGTGCCTTGTGTTATGGGCATGTGTCCTGTTGAGATTGGTAAGGAGAAGTTTGAGGGGAGGGTTTATATTTGAGTTTAGTGTTCTATGTATGTAGTAGGCACAATAATAAGTATGGATGTTTTGTATATTGAGTAAGTTTAGAGTTTTGAATATTGGTGGAGTATGCTGCCTGAAGGGGAAATTCGTTATCATTCTGACTGCAGCCTTTTGTTGGGTAATTAATGGTCTGAGATGATTTATTGTTGTTGAGCCCCATGCACAGATCCCATAGGTGAGATAGGGGTAAATGAGTGAGTGATATAAAGCAAGGAGAGCTGATTGTGGAACATAGTACCGTATCTTCGATAGTCTGCCTACAGTCTTGGAGATTTTCTTGGAAATTTGTTGTACATGTGTTTGGAATCTGAGTCTATTATCAAGGTGGATTCCTAAGAATTTACCCTCTGTGAGCTTTGTGATAGGTGGAATGTTTATCATTATGTTAAATGGAACATCTGTAGTTCTGTTCCCAAACTGAATGAAGTAGGTTTTGTCAATACTGAGAGTAAGTTTGTTAATCATCATCCAGGTAGATATTTTCTGTAAATCAGTATTTATAGTATTGGCTAGTATGACTGGGCTTGGGTGAGAGAAGACGTATGTAGTGTCATCTGCAAATAGTATGGGTTTGAGTAGTTGAGATGCATTTGGTAGGTCGTTTATGTAAATGAGAAAGAGAAGAGGGCCAAGGACACTTCCCTGTGGGACACCAACTGTAATTGGTTGTGTGGAAGAGTTTGCTCCATTTGTGTCCACGTATTGGCTTCTGTTCCTAAGGTATTACTTTAGGTAGTTGAGTGAATGCCCTCTTATACCATAGTGTGATAATTTTATGTGCAACAAATCATGGTCAACTGTCTCAAAAGTTTTATGGAAATCAATGAAGATTCCCAATGGGACTTCTTTTTTCTTGAGTGCAGTGTATATTAATTCTAGCATATGTATAATAGCATTATTCATATTTTTATTAGGCCTGAACCCAAACTGACAAGGGTTGAGTATGTTGTGGGAGATGAGGTAGGAATAGATTTGCTTATGAATTAATTTTTCAAAGATTTTAGAGAGAAGGGGTAAGTTGGATATTGGTCTATAGTTATTCAGGTCTGCTTGATCTCCTCCTTTATGTATCGGGGTGACCTTGCTATTTTGAGAACTGTGAGGAAGGTAGAGAATTCGATGGATTTGTTAAAGAGTGTTGCAATAACTTGTGACAGTACTTGTGAAGCTTTTTTGTATATAAAGAGTGGTAAGTTATTTAAATCTCCTGCCTTGTTCTTTAGTGTGTTGATAATAAGTGAGACTTCTGTTGGGTTGGTTGGAGCTAGGAACGGTGTATTCGGGTAGGTGCCAGTGAGGTAGTCATTAGGTGGGGTGTTTGAGCTTGGGATTTTACTTTCCAGGTTTTTTCCTATGGTGGAGAAGAAAACACCGAGTCTGTTTGCTGTTTCAGTCGGTGGGAGTGGGGGATTCATCTCGTTTTGTTAGTTTGATTGTTCTGTTTCCTAATATATTTTTTGTTCCTAGAATTTCAGATATGGTTTTCCAAATCTTTTTTATATCACCTTTTAAGTTGGATGATCTGTTCTCATAATACAATTTTTTTGCCCTTCTTATCAGGCTGGTTATGATTGACAAGTAATATTTTGTTTGGTCCCTGGTTACTTGACCCATTCTGTACTGTTTTTCATATAGGTGCTTTATATTTATGGAACTGAGGATGCTGGGTGTTAGCCAGGGACTGTTCAATCTCTTAGCTGTGATCTGTTTCATTTTTTTGGGCAGTGCTTGTTATAGAGGTATTAGGTCTTTTTTTAGAAATTATTAATACATTCGTCAGTATCTGTAGAGATTTCTAGTTCAGTTTGCCAGTCGATGTTTGTCACTGCTGTTGTGAAGTTATTAATGGCTGCCTCATTATGAAGTCTGAAGGTAACTTTAGTAGTACAAAACACAGACGCTGATGGAAATAATGCATAATTATTAGAGGAACTATTATAACATCCTAAGTAAGGTTATGAAACTATAACGAATGTATTCATGTCGAATACAAATTGTTTATATTTATATGATTTTTCTGTAATAGTTAACCTTTTTATAATGCTGATCAAATGAAACATATATCCGAAAATGAATGACTGCAAATAAGAAACAAATATGTTGAATTTAACTAGAGGAATAACAATGGTTCGAATACATACCTGGAAACTAGATATATGGAAGTAGAAGTTACCAGTCATCAGAGATCATGACAGAGGTGGTGGTGTTGTAATTAAGGGCTACTAGAGTGTTAACTGTATACAGCTTAGCCTCCAAGTATCCCTGCTTGTAATAATGCAAAAGTGTGGGAGGATAAATGTAAGGAAACAAGAGTTTCCCAACCTTGAAGGTAGACGTGTGTGCCTAACTCCAGGGCAGAGTATTGTAGCTACACCACACCAGGGCAGAGCTATGTGGCTACACCACACCAGGGCAGAGCTATGTGGCTACACCACACCAGGGCAGAGCTACGTGGCTACACCACACCAGGGCAGAGCTACGTGGCTACACCACACCAGGGGGAGAGCTATGTGGCTACACCACACCAGGGCAAGCTATGTGGCTACACCACACCAGGGCAGAGCTACGTGGGTACACCACACCAGGGCAGAGCTACGTGGCTACACCACACCAGGGCAGAGCTTACGTGGCTACACCACACCAGGGCAGAGCTACGTGGCTACACCACACCAGGGCCCGAGCTATGTGGCTACACCACACCAGGGCAGAGCTATGTGGCTACACCACACCAGGCAGAGCTACGTGGCTACACCACAACCCGGGCAGAGCTACGTGGCTACACCACACCAGGGCAGAGCTACGTGGCTACACCACACCAGGGCAGAGCTATGTGGCTACACCACACCAGGGCAGAGCTATGTGGCTACACCACCCCCCTCTAACCCCCCAGGGCAGAGCTATTGGCTACACCCCACCAGGGCAGAGTACGTGGCTACACCACACCAGGGATGGTGACCGGGCCCTCCCTACACCCTGGTATATCTTTTTACAAACTAAAAAAGTCGAGGATGTTTTACGTCAAATGAGTGTCACGAGCCCGTCAAGGAGACACTAACGTCCCAGAAAACTTTAGTGGGGTTATATCAAGAAGGTCCAGAGCAGAGGAAGACAGCCAGAAGACAAGAGACACAGGTGAACACCGTGCACCTTCCAACAAACACTGAAGTCAACAACAACATATCTGGAGTAATGGCTGGTATAACCTCCAGAATACATTCATTTTGTCTCCGCTGATCCTCTGATTGGAATCTCTTTTCCTATATCATTGTAAAAAATAAAGTTATTTATAAAAGGATTTAATATCTATTATGAGAACAGTGCATAAAGGTTTCAGTTGCTAACTTCTGCCACAAGTAATCGAATCACACTTGAATATATAAAAGGCAGATTCTTCCCGTTTTTCATTATTTCTGAATCTAACAATTAAAATTGTATTATTATAAACTCAATTTATAGAAAATCCCCCAAAGAAGGAAATGCGTATATATGTGTGAGGGTATTGCATAGTTTGCATGTTAAGTGAGACAGATGAGTGAGAGAGAGAGAGAGTGAAAAGAGAGAGAGAGTGAGTGGGGAGAGGCTCGTCACTCCCGCCCGTCTGGTTGCGACAAGTGAAGTGGTGAAAATTGCTCTAGATCCAAATATGAAATTTTGTCTCTTCTTCGTACCTATTATGATACAGTTCTGCCCTGAGTGAAAATAAACTGTTATTAGTAAGTTCTGGAGTTTTGTAAATATTGGTTGTATATATGCTTGCTAGAGCCAGTTTAGAGGATGATTCCCAGACGTGAGTGATTATTGAATACACTAATCAACAGGTTGTCGGTGATTTGCATGAATTGATTTATAGATTCAATGAACAGAATTAAATATTTGTCATGTATTCAAAAATTTGTCTAATAGCAATTGATTTGATGGTGAAAATTTTGCATAAGTTTTATCTTTAAGAAAAGGAAAATTAAGACAAAAACCTCATCCTGTCTTATTTTAATGGTTTAACTTAGTCAATGAGTGTAATTAAAAAGTTTATGTCAAGACAAAAATCCTCAGTGACTGTACACTAAGGTCAATAAGGTGTTACTCAGTATACAGATACAGATATAAATATGCTTATTTATCTTACAATTCTTTTATTTTTCACAAATTTGACCATGCAGTCAAATAATGTTTGCTTTGTATTAAACATTTATACATGTAGAAAATGAATGACAGTGTTGTCGAGTTACCGGCAAATCAAAATTTGAACTGAAAATATTAGTATACATAAAGATGCATGTTTTGTGCCAGTGATGAAGTACTTCACCAGCTTGAATAATGAGATTTATAAATGTAATATTGTTCTCATAACTACACATGAATCCTTTATTTAGAAAAATTTGCAGTTGGCAGATTTTGTACCTAGGTACATCATTATATTCTTTGACTTATTTGAGCAGAAATTTGACCTAAATTAATCTCAGTAGAGAAAAAATATTCCTTCTTAAGATTTGGAAAGATTAAACTTTTTAAATGGGAAGATTAGACTTTCTTAATCTGTTTAGTAAGCCATCACTCATATCAACTTGACTTGAGCAAGTTGTATTTTAAAAGAGAAAGTACTACATAGTCAAGAAAATTAATTCACATAAAATGTTAAACAATAAATTAAGAGCACAAGCACCCAGACTGTCCTGGGCTCATCTGACAACAAGTTATGCATGCAATGTTGATGGTTGCAGTGTGATGATTATTGGTTGCTTGTGCCCCTGAAAATTACAGTGAATGATTCTTATAGGTTTAACACTTAACATGAATATAACAATAGCAGTGCAAATTTTTGAACTGTTCATTGGTGAAAAATTTGATAATTATGTACTGTACTGTACATATTTACAAAACAATTTTGTTACACTAAATGAACATAACCTACTCTTACCAAGCTGTACAGATATACCATACATATGCTACTACAACCTGCTCTTACCAGGCTGTACATATAGTACTTGTACATGTATGCTGTATATATGCTACTTCAACATACTCATTTTTTTTCACAACTCTTCAAAGTGCTCACCCTATTTATGGGTGAGCACTTTGAAAAGTGGCTGTAATAGAAATTTGTAGAGGAAATATGTCATTTGTGCTGAATTTTAAATAAACATGACAAAAATTCCTCACTGAATTTCAGCTTAAACTCAACAGGTAAAATAGTACTCAGTAGAATTAACATTGTAAATTTGTGTTTATTAGTAGTTTAATTGAATTTTAATTGTTTAGGACCTTGTCAGGTAAGTAACAGATTTGTCATTAGCAATAGAATCATTATATATATGAATATTTTTTTTTTATATTTTATTTAAAACTTCATGTACAAATATATATAGGTACATATATCAATATGTAACATTGACACTGGTGATGAGCAATAAACATTCACTACACAATCTACTGAATAAGCACATACATAAAGACATTAAAATAAACTTAACACAACCTACAGACTGCTTCTACATACTTTGTTTCACAAGTACACAAGGTTCATAGATATAGTGGAACCTACTCATTATTGCTTACACTCCCCCCCCCCCCCCACCAATGAATACATTCTACATTCCCCTGCTACTTAAAATTAAAAAATGACTTGAACAAGGACAGCATCAATAACACAATATATAAACACATAACAATCCAGGCAACACCTAACACTATACTATATACAAGTTTTTAAAACATACCACAATTCAAGAAGGAATAAAGGTATAATAATAAAGGCCACAAAATGGCTATAAATAAAACTCCTAAATTACAACCTCAACACAATAATAATGCACCAAGCTTAATGACAATCACCCATATTACAACTCGCAACAAATTACACAAGACCTACAAATGCATTATTAAGAAACCTGTGCTGCAACACAGGTGACCCATCATCCCTCCCCCCACTCATACACACATTGAAAACTAACCCCATCACCAATCTGAATAATCATGACATTAATTATCCTCAATTTATGAATATCATGACACGTGTCACGTGAGGAAAGAGAATTTACAACATGGATGGTACAGGACTACCAAAATCACAATACCTTAAATAAGACAAACACAATGTGAATATTACATTTCAAAACACACATATACAACTACCAATAAAGTTGGTATTACCGTTAATGACTTAAACTTATTACACATTAATTGCCCCCCCCCTCACCCTGAAATAATATGACCAATATATGAATATTACCTAAAAATTATGGTACCTCTTATCAGTTAAGTATCAAATTGGTAAATAGTAACAGAATTATTGTAAATATACTTCTTACAAAATTATGATATGTTGTGATTCTAAGAGCACTTGAAGAATAAAAAAATAGACCTAGCTCGGATTATTAACCCAAGATATTGACCAAGGATATACCAAGAAAGCAAAGCAGTGTGGCTTATTTACATCAGGCTCCTTTGGTCCCCTGCCCCAGAATGCAAGATACAACAGTTGGCTAACACTAAGCACTAAGGTACAGTGGTACCTCGGGATGGATGCAAACTTTTTTCGTTCCAGAAGGCTGTTCAAGTGCTGATACCGAACGAATTTGTTCCCATGAGAAATAATATAAATTAGATTAGTCTGTTTCAGACCCCCCAAAAATACGCTTACAAAAGCACTTACATAAATACACTTACATAATTGTTTGAATTTTGAGCTGTTCGTAACCCTAGGTACCACTGTATTTATTTACTGCTTGGTCAACTGGGGTAGCACATATAAGGATATTTGCTCACATGTCTCATCTCGTGGTTATCAAACTAACCCAGCAACCAGCTCATTAAATTCAATTCTCCAACAACCAGAACCAGCCACTGTTCTTCCAATTCGGGGAATTTCGAGCGCACCCATTCAAACCCGCCCCATGGAGACAAAAGTAGGTGATAATGGATAACATCCATTACCCCTTTCCAAACTCCTTTGAAGCCTTAAAGCAGGTCTCGAGAATGACAACCCTGCGAGTTTGTTTGCATCACATGTCTCTGATCCACAGATGAAGATGGGATGGAGTATAACAATTTCTTTCTGATGACAATTCCCACCTTTTTTGTTTTGCCACATAACTTCTCAATTCAACAACAAAAAGGCCCTATAGTGCAAGCATCTGTTTTTTATAATGCTCGTATTATCTCCGTTCAATTGTTCATGGACGCACGTGGTGCGCAAATCAATATTATAGTCTAGATTTTTTAAGGATAAGAAGTTACACATGTCCTTCTTGTAGAACCGACACCTGTTCCTCTCCATAGTGGAGTATCAGTTTCCACCTCGTGTCCGTAGGTACTACTGCCCTAACCATTTCTAGTCCAATGTAGAGACAACACTGTTTCCTTCCTTTGGAGTCGACCAGATTACTTTCCCTGGTACGCTTCTATTGGTATTTGCATCCATGCGAGACTTACGATTGTGCTCGAACCCTTAATCGATGGCATGCACAAATTGACGACTTGATCGTTCCATTCTGGGTTACCAGCTTGGATCCG